TTCAGAACAATATATACTAATTTTTAAAGTATCAAATTGAATTTTTGTTCAATAAAAATCTTTCAAATGCGACTATAGCTTTTTTTCCCCAAAACTTTGTCTTCAAAATAAGGGTGCATCTTATACACCAGTGCGTCTTATATTCTGAAAAATACAGCATTTCCTTTTTTATAGAGGTTATGAAGTCAGTAACATCGAACCAACCTGTACAGAGATACAGCAGTGAAAATAACAGATAAAATAAAAAGTTTTTTTCTAAAAAAAACTTGATAATTTTCTGGAGGTTACAAAAATGTTGCATGTGAAAACTGAAAATGTTCTCATGCATAAAAGTATTTTTAATTTTAAAATCAAAATTAATTTGCATGTTGGATAGTCAACAATTCTGAAAGAAAAAAAAAATTATTAGAAAATTTTTAATTCAAAAATCTTATTACTTAATTTAAAACTTGATATTTTGTGTACAAAATCCTTGTAATGTTTACCAATTACCTGCAAAATTTTGTAAAAATATGCATACATTATAAAAATTCATAGCATAATTACTCTCATGGATACTTTCGTGGTTATGGGCTGTGTGGATTCCACCCAGCCCATAATGGAATGGTTAAATTTCATAATGATTAAGAATAGATTGATAACATTTTTGTTCTAAAGTGCATGAAAAAATGAGATTTGAATAGTAATAAAATTAATATAAGCAAAGACTTAAGCAAAGTTAGAAATTAAATAAAATCTCAACATGGATATAGATAGAAATGTGATTTTGTTGATTAAATTTTTATTTTGATAAAATAAGGAAAAAGAAGATAAAATTCTGCAGTAGGTATCATATATGTCAAAAAAATAAAAGAAACAACTGGTGTACATGATCATTAAGGTTCTAATTTTTAAAACTTAAACAGTTGTTAACTAGTTTTGGAAAAAGAATGCAACTGGCTTTAGATTATTCACCTGTTTTTACATTCATTTTAAAATGGCATATATGAATTCAACTTGCCTGACATGGAACACTGCCTCCCCATTCTTCAAGAACAGCATTTTTAGTGCTTCCAAGAGCTGTTTCAATACATGTTTTATCATAAAAATCGATGTTCAACAAAGCTTTTTTGACGCTTTCAAGATCTCGAGTAAAAGGGCTCAGTATTTCACAGCTTGAGGAAAAAATTATCTAAATTGAACAGATACACACTATTATAGAACCTCAAACAAACAATAAAAAAAAGAATTAACTCTGTTTCTTCAAAATTAATTCATCTATTTATGTTTTATCATTTCTAAGATAAACTGACAAAACTTGCACTGCATAATATGTGTTAAATACGGAAATATTTTTCTTTACTAAATTGATATGAAAATATTATTTTAACCACAAGAACATATACAAAGATAAACAACCCTATAAACTGAGCACTTTCAAAAGTTAACATTTTCTCACGCTGAAACAGTATTTCCGATAGGTACTTACCTCATCTCACACAAAGTATCGTGATCCTGGACTGCCCCCTAAGCATTGCTAAAATTTTTTGCTAACAGCACACCAGTCCTTTATACCCCATCAGTTTTGTGCCATTTCAGAACACATGCTGATCATGTAGCAACCCTAAATCAATCATACTGCGCCATCTATACTAGCACAGCTAGCTCCCTCTACTATTCTAGAACAATCCTCACTTTCAAGAACTGGCAGGTACAAATTAAAAGCATATGCATATATATCAGTGGGGAGGAAGTGTGGGAAGTGGGTGAGAAGAGGTAAGTACCTATCGGAAATATATTTTCAGTGTAAGAAAATGTTAACTTTCCAAATGGTTGTACCTCCTCACACCGAAAGCTAGAATCCCACTTTGCAAATGTGGTGGGGCCGGTTAGGGCACATCAATGTACAATCAAGTGGAAAGCAACCACACTGAAACAACAGTTGTGCAAGAATATGAAAAGAAAACACACATGTGGGGTATAGCACTACTTCTGGAACAGGTATGCTCTTCATCCAGTAATTAACACAGGAACAAAAATAGGGTGGAACTGAATTGGCAGGCACCAATGCATTCATGAAAGAGATGTATTGCACTGAATCAGTGGAAAAGTGCTGTATAACCATGACTTGAAACAGCACAGCATTGACAAACACAGAAAGTCTGGTGTGGAAGTGACAATGGGCCTGTATATATATGTGCCAGGGGTAGTGCCTTGGGTTACATCAAAGTCTGTTAAGTGCAGTCCATCCGGGCAAAACATCCAATGGAAACGCCTTGTATAAGATATTGCGATCAACAAGTGCAGTCCACCTGGGCAAAAAACGTCCAGAAGAAGCACCTTGGATACCTACGATTATGAAAAAACAAATTACAGGTATGAATGTGATTGTGATCTATGTCACACTTCGTCCACATATGTAGCAGGCCATAGTACCAAACATCGTGACAGTAACCATTGTATGGTGCCAGAGAAAAACATAACTATACATGGCTAGGGCTAAAGGACCATGAATTGTATATGAATGGGCCAAATGCAGTCTGCCTGGGCAAAAAAAAAATCCAGGGGATGCACCTTGGGATAAGTTGGATTATGCCAAGTGCAGTCCACCTGGGTGAAAAACATCCAGTGGAAGTGTCTTGCATAAGATATAGAGATCAACAAGTGTGGTGTGACCAGGCAACACCCAAGGGGGAAGTGTCTCAGATACATAGGATTAAGCCAACTGTGGTCTACCCAGGCAAAAAACATCCAGAGGAATCGCCTTGGGTTATGCCAAGTGTGGTCTATCCGGGCCGAAAACATCCATTGGAAGTGCCTTGCTTAATAAATTTTTGATTAACAAGTGTGATCTGAAATACAATTTGAAAAGTAGATAGACCCTAATTGTAGGAATCATGGGTCAGTAGAGATGGGCAGAAATCTCCATCTCCTTTACTCATGAAGTGCATCAGTGACAGTCCTTTATAAATAAAACTAGTAACTTTTAATAAAAAAAATATACAAACCAGTGGCAAGCTACCAGTGATCTTACAGAAACACCCCATCTCAACAGTTAGCATAATAGAAATATTCACATCTAGTGCAAATATAATATGAAGCATACCTGACCAGGCAACACCCACCACCAGAATGTATTGGGAGTTGTCCACATCCCATCTTGAATGATCTCCTGCAAAGGCTGGTGAAAGTGAGCAACTAAAGACATAGTTAGATGATGAACTGGATGCAAAGAAAACATTGTGCAGATGATGAACTTCCATGGAGAAGTCAGAATACACCAGTCGTACAAGTTGATGGCAGGAGACAGAGGGAATCCTTGGAACAAATAGACAGAAACGATAAAATAATAACAGTAAAAGCCACATAACATCTCACAAAATGACCCAGACAAAGAAGTTTATTCAGAACAGAATGGGAGTGCAGGTGAGAAATGGAAAATAATGAAATGGGAGAGAAGACCAAACTACCTGTCAAGGAAGCAGATGTCTAGGGAAGGAAGGCCCAATCAGAATAGAAGATAACAAAAGAGGAATGGGAAGAGATGCAGGAAACATCCATGGCAAAAATATCAGAATGATGATGACCATAAGAAAGGAGGGAGAGGACTTAAGGGAAAAATAGTACCAGGGACATGTAGCAATGAGTTCAAAAGGAGAACTGGACAGGGCATGTGGGACAAAACTGAGATCCAATATGACAAAACAAAGGGAAGTTGAGGATGGACAAGATGAAATAAAAAGAAAAGGAGGGAAATAACAGGGGAGGAGAAAGCTTTCCAGAAATTGGAGAATCAGGGCAGCCCTATAACTAGAAACAGTTGACAAGGTCAAACTCTGAACAAACAACCAGGCGAAGAAGTGGGAAAGATGAAATATCATAGGACAGAAGGAGCCAAAGCCACGGAAAATAAACCAAGGTCTGAAGGTAGGCCACTTCCTCTGGTACACAGTCAAGGAGAAAGGTGAATGGAATGGGAAAGGAAAGATGCTACATGAGGGGTGAGTCCTTGAGCAGAGACAAGGGACTGAATGGTGTTTGGTGTCATTGAAATGAACTATGTCTGATCACAGTTGTCGGAGGAGAGACTGAGACAGAGGTAAGGGCAGAGGATAATGCTCCAGTAAGGGCCAAAGCAGAGGGAACCATATCCAAGCAGGCCAATATGGAGCAATAAGCAGGACATGACAAGGAGTGGTCTGGATAAGGGAAAAGACTCTGGAGAGGGGGCTGATTGAAGGGTGGGTGAATACCCCGCCAATCCTGACTGAACGCATCTACTCCCAGATCTGAATGGTGTGAAATCAGAAACCAAAAGGAAGGAATTTGGCATTCCAGTGAATGGCAAACACATCTCTATGTTGTATTACCAATTGTGAACATACCCACTGAAATACCTATGGAAGAAGGGACCACTCCGTGTGGAGAACCTGGTTGGGTCAGGATAAGAGATCAGCCACCAGATTCATAACACTGGGAATGTGACAAGTCAAGATCACCATGTAGTGCTTGTGGGCCAAGTGAAAAAGATTCAGAGTCTGAAACACAGAGATCTGAATTTGGCTCCCCCTTGTTTAGCGAAATAGCCGACGACAGTGGAATAGTCAGAATGAACCATAACCACTCACCCCTCAGGAGTGGGAAGAAATGATACAGAGCCCAACAAACTGCCAAAAGTTCCAGGATGTTGAAAATGGAGAGTAGCCTCCTCGACAGACCATAGAGCAAGTTAAAACACACATTTACACACTAGAATGCCAATCAAGAATCTCAGGATTGTTCTAGAATAGTAGAGGGAGTTAGCATCACTAGTATATGGTGCATTATGATTGGTGGAGGGTTGTCACATGATCAACACATTCTGAAATGGTGCAAAACTGATGGGGTATAAAAGATTGGTATACTGTTAATGAAAATTTTAGCAATGCTTAGAGAACAGTCCAGGATCAAGATAGTTTTGAGTGAGAGGAGTTAAGGTTTTGGAAGGTAGTTTGCCCCTGAAGAAGAAAGGTCTACCTTTAAAAGCACTTATATTATAAGGTTTCTTGTCTTTGTGTTAAATTGATTTCTTGAACTTGTGTGTTTTTTACACATCGTGAACACAAACACACACACACACATATATATATATATATTGTTTTCTCATATTTACTGAAGAAGAAAGGTCCACCTTTCGAAAGAGCTCAGGTTATAAGGTTTCTTATCTTTGTGTTAAACTGATTTCTTGAACTTGTGTGTTTTTCTAGCATCGAGAACACACATACCCACACATATATATATATATTTGGTTTGTTTTCTCATATTTACTCTACACTATAACCATTTTGTACAAGGTTTGAAAACTAAAGTACATCTACAAGTACTTTCACATTATGTATTTTACTAATCCACCTGTCACTCAAAATCTAAAAAGCAAAACAAAACATGCTGTATACCATATGTTAATTTACTATATTATTCTATACAGATAAATAAAATAAACCACAAAATTGTATTTAAGATTTAAAAAATGTTTTCCTCATTTTTGAATTACAGAAGTAATACAATCAAGATTCTCTGAAGTTTTACACTGTCTCAAAAATGTCATTATTTAAATATGCATGATTCCAGTTGAGACACAGATAACTTTTCCAATGCATACAGTTACTGTTTTACACCTACATAAAGAATCTGCATGTTAATAGATGAATCAGGTAAACAAGTCTTTTTTACCAATTTCTAATGCAATCTATTTGCAAAATAAATAAGCTTACTGTAAATATATGTTTGTAGCTATCTTCATTTCATTTATCTACATATAAAATTAAAAACAAGTATTTTTAAATTACTCAACTGAATACACCAAAAATATGTTCATACAAGTGTAACCAAATTTTTTATAAAAAGTACAAGCATTAGAACTTCTCTAAAATAGGGGTACACGTATAATTAATTCTAAAAAGAAAACATTAAACAAAATGCATAAACACACAGGAAAGTTTGCAATCCCACCCTCTTCTTATACACACACACAATTATGACAAACAATAATAATATGTCAAGTAAAGTACAGAGACATTTTTTATCATCATAAATCCTTCTGAGGGGGGTACACAAATAATTAATTCTAAAAAAACCCATTAAACAAAAAGCATAAACACACAGGAAAGTTTGCAATCCCACCCTCTTCTTATACACACACACAATTATGACAAACAATAATAATATGTCAAGTAAAGTACAGCGACATTTTTTATCATCATAAATCCTTCTAAGGGGGGTAGACAAATAATTAATTCTAAAAAAAACCATTAAACAAAAAGCATAAACACAAAGGAAAGTTTGCAATCCCACCCTCTTCTTACACACACACATTTATGACAAACAATAATAACGTGTCAAGTAGAGTACAGAGACATTTTTTATCATCATAAATGATTCCGAGTAATTTTAAAACATTATCTTGAAAAACTTCACTATGAACACTAACCTTAAATGTGACTTTGCTTTCTTAAATGTCTATGCTGTCTTTAACAAATTACGATATCCTGTTCTACATTTGTTATGAATGTCCTTTCCTTGTGTTTTGTCATTGTACTTAACTTTATCAAAGCTTTATTCTATAAATCATTATTATTCCACTTGAAAATGTATACAATCATTTGTGGATATAATTTTAACAATGTACAATAAAACCCCCATATGCACTGGAAAATTTAACATAAATATTAAAATAGAATAATTTCAGCTGATCATTTTCAACAATAAGATGACATATTTTTAATTCTATAGTGACCTTTACCTATGAAGAAAATAAAGTAAATTATGCTGTACTGATAAGATAAAAAAAAAATCCCACAAACACAGAAAATTCTAAATTACTCAATAAGTATATAAGAAATCAAATTTATGGATGTATATTTACACTTAAAAACCTCACTATATATACATCAATATACCAACCAGAGAACAGAATTCTAATTTGCAATGCTGATTGATAAAGTCTAACAGGGAATTCAAGCCATGGACAGCAAGATTACGCAACTGATAAGGTTCGGCAATATCTGGTTGGAGTACGGGTCTACACATGGACAGAGAAACATCCAGTAGAAGTACTGTTGGCATGGTGTCCTTTACAATCAAGTACTAAATCTGTCAAATAAAAGTTTCAAATTTAAGGCAGTTGCATTTCACATATGATAACAAAATTCATGATATGTATATGGCAGATTCTGCCAACAGCTGTATAATTTTGAAATTAAAAACATACATTTCTTATAAACTAAAGAAAACAAAAATTTACTTTCTATTATGTAAGCATCTATTTTAACTTTAATAAAAAATCTGTACAGATATTAGAAAGAAACTTGATACTATTTAGTATATGTACTAACATACGTACCAATTATTAGGTCGTCAAGAAATTAATGTCATGTTTTGGACCACTTTCACTAACCACCCCCCAAAAACGTACATCATGTATAATAATTAAGTGAACCACCTAAATGTAACATTAGTGTAGCCTATATAATGTGTAAAGTTTAGTATACTCTAATCCCTTATAGTTATGGCACACGACAAGACACACATCCAGCATGTAATGCTGTTTGAATACAAGAAGGGAAACAACGCCTCTGTGGCCACAAAGAATATCAAAGTACTTTATGGAAATGTTTTGAACGTTCGTAAGTGTCAACGATGATTCAGCAAATTTCGTTTAGATGACTTTAGCCTTAAATAACTGTGATGGCTGAGGCCGACATGTTGGAATTGATATTGATGCTCTGAAGATGCTTGTTGAGTCTAACCCAAGGCAACATAGTCAGCAACTGGAAAGTTTAAATCAAGCCCTTCACTTGTCAATTGGAAAGGTGTTCTTATTCTGCACAATAATGCACGTCCACATGTGGCACATTTGATGCAAAAAAGATTATGGAGTTGGGATGGGAAGTTCTCCCCCACCCACCATATGCTCCAGATATGGCACCATCAGATTACCATCTTTCTCGTTTGCTGCAACATCATCTTAATGGAAAAACGTATGCAAACGTGGAAGGTGTTAAAGAGGACATCAACATGTTTTTTGCTTC